GGTCCACGGGTGGGAAATTTTTTTTGGTCCAGTCTGGGTTCCATCCGGAAGGGGAAAAAACGAACATGCCGGGGGGGGGGGGGGGGGGGGGTGTACTCATAGTCGTGCATGCCGTAGTCGTTTGACCATTGACCTCGCATCCCTACAAAGCCGGGACGGAGCACGCCGGGTTCTCACCGGACCAAGCTCTCACATCACCAAGCGCGAAGCGCCGTGAGGTATTTGGCGAGTCGCATGAAGGATGAGCTGCATCCTGCTAAGGGTGTTCGGCATCTTGTGCTTACTTCCTTGCGTACGGATGACAGCTACGTATGACTTAATTTATTTTCTGGTGCTTTCACTTCCAGAGACAGTTGTAAGCACTGTGTAACTGCCTCGAGGAAGCTTGACCATTTTAACACAACATGGTACGATCATCCCCCGTTGCGCGGAGTGAGGTTTCTCGACCCCACACAACATGATCTACTCGACCACCATTATGGTTACCGCCAAAAAAAAAAACGAGGTAAAAAAAAAAAAACGGTAACCAGGTTGCCGAGTTCACGAAGTGAATTGGCTTGTGTTACAACGTCGTTGCCAAGCGACGAAAACCCAATCCCGATGGCAAACACCGAGGGGGCGGCATGTTTTACAACGTCGTTGCCAAGCGACGAAAACCCAACCCCGATGGCAAACATCGGAGGACGGAGGGGGGGGGGGTGAAAAAATGTGGAAACCAGGCGCACCACCCAGGTCATCCGCGAGTGGAATTGATGCCAACTCCAACTCCCTCTAAAACATCGCGCCAGCAATACCGAATAACCACATGTGGCTCGGATCCATCAATCGAACACACGCGGACACAGTTCCATTTCACCAACGAAATTTCACTCGCTGCCAGACTTGCTCTCCCTGCTCACCAGGAAAAAATTTCTCTTGCCAGCTGGCCCCCTTTGGAGAGCAGGTACCCCTCACGGCGCCCCGCCGGAGCCCCACGTAGGCTTGCTTCTCGTGCTGTGAATTCTTGTACCTAGCGGTGCACACCCAAAGAAACGCTCATGAGCCTTCGTACATCAATGACGCTCGATCCGGTGGGGCTTTCTAATTTTTTTCATGATAAAATTTCGGAGGGATCACACAAGCTGTCGGACGCGCATGCCTGGACAACTGGTGGCACTGGTGCAAGCAAAAAGGAAATGCCGACGTATTGGTGTGCTCGGAGCTCTTGCTTGTTTCCGATGGGTGGCGGTTTTCACGAAAGGGAACTTAAAACAAGTACGTGCACAACAGGGAGAACATCCAACCTCGTCCTGTTTCTATAATAGTGCTTCTGCATGGCCGCCGGCATAAATGCACCAACACCCGGCACCGGTGATGTACTGTGCTCGTTACCATTGCCCCCCGCCCCCCCGGTTGGTGCCACCACGCCTAATTGGGGTCAACCTCAGACAGCCCATGCCATGATTCCTCACACCCCAAAGCCGTCATTTTCCGTTACTGCGGCAGCGACACCTAAGATGCGCATCATCTCACTCACGCTCTCATGACCCTCGTCGCCACGTCCTGGTCCTTGAAGTCTCCCAGGTCGAGCTGCACGTTTTTCATGTGCACCAGGTTGTCGCCGTTGCCGTGGTGGTCATCCTGCGACCGACAGAACGAAAAACAAAAAAGAGGTGGCGGAGAAAATATCGATAAAAAAACAGAAAAAAAACAACTGACCATGTACGGTGTAAAGATGTGGTTCATTGGGGCGGTCATGAGTTGAACGCGCCAGGCAAGCACGACGGAGTGGCCATATTGAAAATACAAAATACAGGGAGCTATATACATGTGTGCTTTGTGCCAAGAACGTTTTGTCCAAGGTCAATGCATGGGTATGGATTGTAGGCGCAATATAGAAACGGGTGAGATCGGTAAAGATTTTCCCTATGACAACGCAACCGCCTGTCCCAAGTGGCTGATAGATTGCTTTGCGTTTGTTTTCTAGGTGAGCAAAAAAAAAACAACTCACGCCTGGACTACTACTGTGTCGGAGTTGTTGAGGACGAAACGAGGCATCGCATTCTTTACCACTGCCATGAGAAATATTGGATGAACAATCGATAAAACAAGGTCATCAATACCAGTGTTGCTGGGTGTGATGGGCAACAACTCGCCACTTGAGATAGTTGTCGGGTGTTCGTCAAATGTGTAGGTCCGATTATCCCAGGTAAAATCCCCACGCACCTGGTGGATCAAGTGGCAGTGGATGGAAGAAGCGTCCGGGCCGTCAGCTAGTGCTTCGGCGGGTTGGCAGCACTCCGTCCCCGTCCGTCTCCACGCATCCACCAGACCGTTCCCGAACGATCCATCGCAAGCGCGTGTATCGTATCTCGCCATCATCTTGGTACGCCGAAAGGGGAAACACAACATTTTTGTCGGAACGATTTAGTGCTGTGTGTGTGCTCGCGCGCTCGTTGGCATGGATTCATGGCTGTAGTACATGAAGGTATTAATAGTCGCTTGGTAAGAATGCCAACGGGGACATGTTACGCACTTGGTGCTTGACTCGGAAACAATTGAAACATTGTTTGATGGAGCGGCATAGTATGACATAGCTTGCTGAGAAAAAACTTACTACGTCTGGCGTGTGGGGGTGCCACGAGAACCTGGCAATAATTTGTCTTGAAAAAAAAAAAAAAAACACCCGACATACGTGGGCGTGATAACGAGCAAAGGTGGATGGGTAGAGATCTGATGAACCACTCCGTCACACGCGTCGGAACTGTTGGTGCTCATGAACGGGCTCCGGCTCTCGGTTTGAAGCAATCAAAACAACACGGCACACCGACCAGGACAAAACCTCTTCGCACGGCAGCAACATATTCGCTGCGCTCCGAATCCCACCTCACCGACCGCTAGGTTACTGGTTACCTGCCATGCTCAACATGTCATGCATGTGTGCGACACATAGTCAAAGACAACGATAACGGTGACACTCACACGCATGTCACGAAGGAGCACTACGCACCTCATCCACAGGGGTAGATCCGAAACCTTCCGCAGAAAGCCCCAAGATGAAGTGCCCTTCCGCCTCTACCCCCTCGCCAGTCACCCCGTCGCCCCCTGCACGCACATCAACAGAGCCCCGTTGAGGCCCTCCGCTCCCCTTTCGCGGAAGAGCTAGCGGCTCTCCGTTGTTGCTCAACCCAGGATTGTGAACGTTGTTGCTATCGTCCGCCCCCCCAAGCTGCGCCACCTGGGAGTCGGCAATCGCCAGCTGGCTAACGAGATACTGTTTTCTCAAGCGCAGCCATTCCAAGCTGCATGGGTGCGGAAGTTGCGGAGTCACGGAGTGTGGGGCGGAACGGCGGTTATGGGGGTTCGATCTCTCGTCGCGTGCGTGTGGCGTATTGCTTCCTAACTGCGTTTGGATGACTAACTAGGGTACAATGTCCCAGGGGGGTGGGAGGCGAGGCTTCTTCATGTTTGCTGCTTGTGGGGTCACGAAACACGTCCTTGTTGACGATCCTGCAGCAAATCTATGCAAACGGGGGCCGCTGTTCATCAAATCGAGACGATGGAACGGGGCAGACCACGTGCCACCAGAGCAAAAGAAATCTGGAAATCCGCCAGCATTACAAGCTGACGAATACCACGCTGTTCCCGAAGCGATGCCAGCGCAAGCACGCGAACGCGACAATGACTGGTGATCCACTTACTCCTCGCACAATCGGGCCGTATCCATGTGGCTGGCAGCTGACTGCAAAGATATGCCAAAGGATGCTGTGGCGCTGGACTTCAGGATTGTTTTTTACCTCTAGCCTTCATCGAGGTGTACAAACTACTTGGATTGGCCTTTCGCGTACATGGGCTTTCTCGCAAAGGTTTACTTACCCGGGTAGTCGATCCCTCTCTCTCCTACAGCTCTTGGGCCCCAACTACTGCTGATTTGCAAAAAGAAAGGTGAGAGCCGACGAGCCGACAGAAACCGGCCCGGCAGCGGAGGAAAGCAACACACACACTACTGCGGTGAGAGATTGCATTCACCACAGGACAGAACGAACGCACCTATCCTCCTCCTTAGATCCTTCCTGCCCGACGGCCCTCGCCCACAGGAACACGACGAGCAAAGCACCAACGGAGAAGGCCACCACCGACGTAGTCGTGATGGCTTGTGTCTCCTCGCCTCTTTGCCGAAAGTTGCGAGCTCTCTCTTTGCTCAGTGATCGCGCTCTGCGACGCCTGGGGAGCCGCATTGTGTTGATTGGGGAGCCGGACAGCGACACGCCCGAGCACCGAGAGAGAGAGAGAGAGAGAGAGAGAGAGAGAGAGAGAGAGAGCAACGAACAGCACTACTAGTACACGGGCCTGGTTTCCCGGGGTCTCTCACCCGACTGTTGCACACTCCTGGGTGCACTGTGCACACGAGTTTCCGCCGCAATCTCCGAAAGAGAACCGTAGATCTCGTAGATTGTGGAACCTAGAACGCCTCGCAGGATACCATGAAAACTATATTTACCACTCGTACATGTACGCATGTACGCGAGTAGGTAAACCCGGAGAGATCTGAGCAACACACAGCTGCGAGGGAGAAATTCAAAGATACCACACTTGGCTCGGCGAACAAGTTTTGAGGACTGCGGTTGCTCGTGAGAGGTGAGAGAGGCACTACTAACATGGTTGAGTGACATGGCTTCCAACCACGTGACCCAGCCTGCCTGCTGCAACAGCCCAGAGACAGGCCAAGAGGGCTCGACACGCATCACTCTCGTCACCGTGTGTACGATGCAACCACCTTGATGATGGTGATGAAATAAGCGTCTTACGTGCAGTCGTGGTGACGCTCGGCAAGGCGTGCTGCTGCTCATGGCATTCTAAGGTGACGAACAATGTCACTTAGTAATACGAGTATCTGTGTGATATTGTGATTTTCATTTTCGAAGGTGAACGTCGAAGTGCTGTACAATAGCTGGCGCATCTTTCTTTCTGTGGTTCGCGTCCTTATTAACATGTTTACAATCTAGACCGTCACGAAAGCGGTACACTCGTCTTTGCGTTGAAGCATGCCGCCTGTGTTGTCCGGGGCGTATGCCTCCTGTCCACATGCTGTGCACACCGTGCGGCCCATCCGAGTGCCTCTTTTTTTGTGCTGCTGCGCACCTGTAGTGGCGTTATGGACGTCAAGTTGAATTCTACATGTCGCTACGGCCAACGGTGGTTATTTTGTTACCCCACAAGGGCAAACGTGCACCAGCGGTTGATAGAGTGTGCGCGTGTAGAGGGAAGCACAGGAGACGAGCGCATGGTACGTATTGTGTCCTTTCTCAACCGAAACGAGGTTTCTTCTTCATCTGGTCCTCTCCCTTGGTTGTCGCTGTCTGCGCTGACTGCTGTCTCAGTATCCGTCTCTCGTGCCGGTGTAACTCCCGCAACACCGCATGGGCTACAGCTACGATCTGCTTCTGTCTCGAACCTTCATCTGTCTGTTACCGCCTCCAACATCATGAAAACCCTTGCAGGCGAAGTGGTGGTCCCTTGTTCTTTGGTGGTCGAGGACAAAGAGACATATCGCGAGCATCATGCGGCGGTACGAGACGTTGGTGCGGCAGCTATACCAGGTGATGGGCGAGGGTTGTGACAGACGCCGGTGATGTTGTTGGGTTCTACTGTGATTTTTGCGATTTCGGCCACTCCAATTCCCACGACAAGAACATTGCCACGTGGTATGTAGGTTTTTTTCCAGGCCGTGTGTTGCCCCCTTCTTGCTCCTGGTTAGAATGGATTAGACGCCTTCCGTGCAGCAGATTCTTCTTCCCATACAGCTGTGCTTGGGCAGCGTCTGTCTCTGCCCTCGGCCGTGGTTCGGGGCGTTGAATTAATACGTTTGTGTTGACGGTGTTTTTCTCCGTTTTCTCCCCATTTCCACCCACCGCCGTCGTTGCAGGTCAACCTGTTTCATCCCGTCAAGATGGGCCTGACCAACATCACGAGGCTGCACGAGGCTCTCGGCAACCCCGCCGACGGGCTGCCCGCAGTGCACATCGCGGGTACCAACGGAAAGGTTTGTTGCTGCTGCTGCTGCTGCTGCTGTTTCTAGTGCCACTGTTTTTGTTGTTGTTGTTGTTGTTGTTGCTGCTGCTGCCGGTGCTGCTGATTGTGCTGCCGGTGCTGCTGACTGTGCCCCCCGCACCGCTGTTGCCATTGCCGATCGCCTTGGTGTACCTGTTGCCCTATGGCGCAGTTTTGGATGCGGTTTTCTCTGAAACATGTTTCAAAACGGTTGACCCTGGCGCTCCCTGTTCCCGCGTTAAGGCAGTGGCGCTGCTGGTGAATGTTTGTTGCCCGCACCGCACGCACTCGCCGTACCCACTCAACAACCACACCGTATCCGGCCCTACCCGTTTCCAACAGGGGTCCGTGGCGTTCAAGATGGCGCGCTCTCTCCAGCTCGGGGGGCTCAAGACGGGGCTGTTTGTGTCCCCCCACATGTCGTGCTTCCGAGAGAGGGTGCAGGTGGATGGGGCGTATATCCCGGAATCGAGCATCGAAGACATCTTGCCCAGGGTGAGAGACAAACCACTATTCCCGGAATAGTCGGAGAGTTGGCGCCGGCCGGAGAGATGGCACCGGTCGGAGAGATGCCACCCGGGTGCGGTAACCCCCCCGAGAAAAGAACATTTAATTCGATTTACGCACCGGGGTCGGTGAGATCGCACCGGGTACAATCTCTCCGACCTCCAAATCCAAGATTGAGCTCCTTTTCAGCTGCCGGAATGAGGTACATGTGCGTACCTTTGACGCGTGGGGACGGTGTCAGCTGAGCGCCACTCCTTTACGTACGACTGGATGATCGCGGTTCACGCGGGATGCCAGTTGTTTTCAGTTTTTAATTGGTATGGAAGTTGCCAACCGTACACTCAACCAGACACACAACGTACAAGCCGCACCCTCTACCCCACCTTACACAATAACCCGGAAAAATGTACTGCTGCGCACGTGCTGATATCCGTAGAAGAAGACCGGAACGAAAGCGGGAAACAATTGATACCGTGTGTACTGATACCACCTTTGATGGAATCGACATCGTTTGTTATTGTCACGCCATAGCCAAACTCGCATCAAACACAAGACCACTCGCTGCATGGAAAGCTGTTACGTACCAGTCTACGTTGCCGTTACGGGTGTGCTCCCAACCAGCAACAACGGTACCTATTCGTATGTGTGGTTCTATACTGATCAATGGCATTATCAACTAGCGTGTGAAGAAGACCGTGTGGGTGGGTGCCTACACTGGTATCAATACTATCGTACCGGTCGGGGAGATGGCACCGGGGTGCGTGCATACAAGACCTGTGTGTATTTCATCGGGGATGGCACCGGTCGGAGAGATCGCACCGGAGCGCCTTGGAAAAACTAAAAGAAGAGTGATTTTATTACATTTCCGCACCGGGGTCGTAGAGATGGCACCGGTCGGAGAGATGGCACCGGGGTGCAATAGAAAACACGAGGAAAAAACATTTAAAAAAACGATCGCAGCCGGTGCCAACTCTCCGACTACAAGGGTATTCGCATTTGATTGCTGTTTTAAGCCTGCGTGGGATTGTCGTTGTTGCTCTCGTACGTTGGTACCGTTTCGATGCCCCTCACGTGTCGTCGGCGTCCCGCCTACTTTTACTCCTCCCTCCTTTCCCTGTGCCTCAAGATTGGTAAGCCAGAAAAAGAACTCTGACCAGTGGACGGTATGGAGAAGCTCGCCGAATTTTGAACTCTCTCTCTCTCTCTCTCTCTCTCTCTCTCTCGTATTTTTTCTCTCTGCTCATTCTTCCCGTTGTCTCTCTGCCCTGCCTGTGTCTCTCTGTGTCTCGCTCGTTCTCTCCCTCTCCCTCTCGGCTCCCGCTCCTCGATAGATTTTCGATTTGTGCGAATCCGAGGACATTCCGGCTACATTCTTCGAGGTGACGACCGCGCTAGCCTTCCAACACTTCCGGGAATCCGGGGTCGATGCGGTGAGATACGTGTCGGTTTAGGTTGATTTGTACCCGAATTTCCCGGTATATAAAGGTCAATGCATTTCCCTGACAACCGCATGTAATTTCTTGAAACCACACCAGTTCGCGGTGTTGCGTAACGTTTCGAGCGACTGCAGAATCAATGCGGTGACATACATTCCGCCACCGGACCCCGTCCATACCACTCCTTTTTTTGGTCCCTGCACGCGATGCCACCATCGATGAGTTCAGTCACCCAGGACACGGTTGTATCGGTGCCTCTGTCCAGGATTGACACGTGAGGGATCGCAACAGCGAGTTGAACGTCGTTGAGAATTGAGCTTGCCTTTTTGCTGTTTTTCTGTATTTCGTTGGCGCCGCCGCCGCCGCCGCCGCTGCTGCTGCTGTGCCCCCTTTTTGTCCAACCAGATCGTGGTGGAGACCGGTCTAGGGGGACGGTTGGACGCGACGAACATATTGAAGCCGGCTCTGACCGTCGTCACTTCCGTCGGGTGGGTGGAACTCTCAGCCCTGGACACGGAAGAAGTGCCCTCCCCCCCCCCCCCCGCCCCCCGCCCCCCGCCCCGCGCGCCTTCCTATCGGGTAGCCACCGACCGCGGTATCACATTGCTGTGCCGATGAGTTTGTTCGCCTGGCACGGACGCAGAGCGTCGATTATCCCTCTCTTTTTCATGCATCCTGCGCACTTTCATGGGCGTGGCGCCGCCTAACTTCGAGAGATACAATGGTAGTCTTGGCGGTGATCAAATTATGATAATTTTTGACCCGGCGCAAGAACGCCATGATTTAACCACCACCGCGACAACAACAACCCTAGAAACCTCCAGCAGCACCACCGGTGCGCTGTAGCCGTTGCAACTTCGAGGAGCTTACTACGTGAACGCGCGGCGAGGTGTAGTCGGCTCCTTTGTAGTTGCGGTATTCGTGAGATGTGTAGAAAGTCCCTCACTGAGGAGATTGCCTCAATCGCTCCCTCGTTGACTGGACAGCAGCAGCAGCAGCAGCAGCCCGCTCCTACTTTGTGTTTCGGCGCGCCTAGTCAGCCGGCACTACACACTGCTGTTTTGGTCGTGCAAATGTTCTTGTGGATGTCCACATGTTCCCTCATTGTTCTTCCTCCCCTTGTGAATGCTATTTCGCTTCCGTTTTCCTGCTGTTTCTCTTAACACACACAACGGAAACAAACAAGGCTTGACCACACCAGGATCTTGGGAGACACTGTGGAGCAAATCGCCCTCGAGAAGGCCGGGATTTTCAAGCCGGGCGTCCCCGCTCTCGTCGGCGACGGCTGTCCTGTCGACATCATGAGGGTAAGCTTCCGGCGGAAAGGGTGGGGTTGGTTTGGATTACCTGTATCGAATATCATGATGGTGTTCCTTGTCGTCATAGCTGCTGATGTTGTTGTTGTTGTTGCTGTTGTGACTGTTGTTTTTTTACCTTGAGGGGCATGCCGAATCTCCCGCCGAAAGATATGGTAGCTGGGTTTTAAACTCCCCAGAAGTTTATTGTGTCGATTCTGCTTCTAAAGTGGCAGAATATTAAAGAACACCTTTGGCGTGGTTCTCGAGAGCTGCATGCGAAGCCAAGGGACTCTGGTACCCACACACCACGCAGACAACGTCCCCCTGCGCAAGCTTGGTTTACGTTTTCCCTCCACGCTAATCCCCTCCCCCCCTCCAGCTGCTAGTCCACAAAGCCGTGGCCGTTACCAGTGACACCCCCCCCCCCGTCGCGCCTCTCGTATGCTTCCGAACACATGAACAAACTGCCGAATAGGGCGTGGCCGAGAGCGGAGGATGCCCGTTCCACCGCTGGGCAGACGTCTTCCCCGAAGGAACTAACGCCGGGGATGACGAAGATTATGACGAGGAGAACACCCGCCTGGCCGAGGCCGGCCTGGTACTGCTGGGCCGTTCCCACCCGGAGTTGTGCGTTAACGAGGTGTGTGTTGTGCATCGGAAATGAGATATTTTTTTGTCACGTTTAGAGACGGTTGACCAGCTTCTAAGAGAGGGGGGGTAGTGGGATAGAAATACAGGGAGAATGGGGGTATTGTAGAATGATGGTTTGTTCGATCCGACGCACGTTGGAAATATGTCCAACCAATGGGAATGGACGAGGCTTGAGGCTATTCTCTCTGTCGCTCCCACCATGTACGCATCACAATGCTACCCGAAATATAGGGCGGATGTGTCAGTGCATTGGTTTTCGAGGCAGAGACTGCAAGTATTTCAGGTGCGAGGAGAAAAGCAACTCGTTGAGTGTGCCATGGGCGCTGGAGAGGCCAATGAATGCAAAACGGACTCTTGTTCCTTGCTTCGTTCTTTTGAGTGTTTTCCGATATTTTTGGTGCGTCGGGGACGCGCAGACCCAAGCCTGTGGGAACATCTTGCACTTGTTTGTTAACGTGGCCGAACAAAGAACGCACATGCGGGCTGCTGCAATTTGCTCCAGATCATGAGCGAAACCACGGCGAGACGACAGACTTTTTCGGACGACCGATCTCTTGCTGTCTTTAGACCTTTGCAGCGTCCCTCCTTCACAAACTTCAAGGATATATATCCATTAGCCGTCTGGACAAACGAAACCCCCCCCAGCCTTCCCCTTTCCATCCGTCGGACCCCTTTTACCGCCCCCACCATGTCCACTCTGTCGTTCCCCCGGGCAGCACACATACATCCAACCGCGTGCCTTTCAACAACCCCTTTCTTTGCACCACCGCCGACAAAAAATCCGCCGCACCTTTGTTTGCCAGGACGCCTTGCGCCGCGGCGTGACGCAACGACCACCGTGCCGCTTCGAGGTGCTCCAGGTAGACGCCCCCGCGGCGGCGGCGGCGGCGGAGGCGGCGGCCACCGGAAAAAAAGTCGAATCTTCGCATAGCGGGGGAGAAGCCGGTGCCGGCGGGGGGGGGAGCGGAGGCGGAGGCGTTGTCACGGTGGTGCTGGATGTTGCACACAACCCTCCGGCGATCGTTCGGTTTTTCCAGAAGGTGATGGATGGATACAGTGGATACACTTATCACAAACTGTTTGTATCCTCCGACGTTTCTTCCTCGCTCGCGAAACCGAGGAAAACAACAGGCCCTTGTCGTATCGAGACGACGTCTAAGCCGCTTGAATCCTCTAATTATCTCCTTCATTCGCGAAACCTAAGGAAAAGAAAAAGCCGCCGCTTCGAGCCGGCGACCCGTCGTCGTCTCTACCATACGATAAGGGCTGTTTTTTTTTTTTTACCGTTTTGTTTGTTGTTTTGTTTCCACCAGCCCCCTTTTTTATGATCCGTTGTGCTCGCTCGTCGTCTTTCCGATTTTCTTGCGATACTGTCTCTTGTGTGACGCTTGAGTTCCGCGACGATTTCGCGATTACACCGCCAATCCCATTGAGTTTGGCTGCTGACGGGGGTGTTTATTTATCCCCCTTGTAGCATCACTCCCGCGTTCCCCTGATCTCTCGCGTCTCGTATTTAGATGGACAGCGTTCGGATGAGAATGCAAGGCACAAAAAGTAGGCATCCTTATCTTTTTATGGCCGGGATATCGTTTTTGGCATCTATTCCTTTACCAGGTGGCGAAGGAGTTCCCGGGGAGGCGTATTCGTGTTGTGGCGGCATTTTCGGGCGACAAGGACTCGAAGGATTGCCTCTCGACCATCGTGACAAGTGCTGCCCCCGAAAGGATACATCTTGCCGAGGCGAGTCTCGTTTTGTTGTATGCGTAGCGCTGAACTAATCTCGAGCGAATGGGGTAGGCTTGTGCCATGCGATGGAGTGTACCATCGTTCGCAGACATGTATTCATAGTATTCTAGAGAGATTTGTCTACCCTTGTTGTTTTTTCCTGTGCCGGACTTTGGAAAATGGATGGCACAAAGAGTAGGCGTCCTATGAGTGCATAGAGGAGTCATGCCGTAGAGCGTTGTTTCCGAAATACTTACATCTATTGTATTGCACGTGGAATGAGGCAAAATTGTTTTGTAAGGTACTTGGCCTGCTTTCACAGGTTCAGCATGCTGCCGAGTGTGTACGCACCAGAGGGCTCGACAGTGTGTGAAAGGGAGACATATTGCCTAGAGGCGTGTGGCAATGTACTTGACTACAGCAGCATGCTGCCAACAAAGCCGTTTCGATGTTTTGGCGCTTGAGGTTTGGGCGTGAGACGTGTCGTTTCGTCAACGGTTCCACGAAATCTCCGAGGCCGATATTGGACGAGCCGATACGAGGAGACGGCGTATTTTTCCTCACCGCTGGCCCACCGCCGCCCCTTTCCAACCGCGAGTATTTTCATACAGCCAGTTTCTGAAGAAACGCAGCAACATGCGGAAGAAATGAACTATTTGCTCTCCCACTGCAACCAAGACTTCAAGACTTCGATTCATGGCTGAGTGGCGAAACATGACCTCCCGGCGTGCATCCAGGATTAAGAAAGCGGACGAAGTCAATCGCGAGCCAAATGACGCCTGCGTGGTTTCCCCACTCGCCCCATCACTCACTTCCGTCGTGATAGGCTGCGACTCGTCGAGCGACGTCGGTGGACGTCTTAGCCTCGCGCCTTTCCGAGCTGTCCGGAGGGAGGTTCGACTCGTCGTCGAGCAGGGTGAGGAGGGGAGACGAGAGCGTGCGGCAAGCTTTAAGGTAAGAAAGAGCATTGGTGTTGTTGTTGTTGTTGTTGTTGTTGTTGTTGTGTGTTTGTTGTTGCGTTAGCTTTTAGGGTAAAGGGGGAAGACAGAGAGATAATTGTTGCCGTATGTTGTTTTTGTTGCTGCTGCTACAGCTAGTTTTCTTGTTTTGTGCCACTCGAAGTACACAGCGGTTGACAAACGCTCGATATTGATGGTATCGTCTAGGGTGGTGGTTGTGGTGGTATTCGTGCAGAGTACCTCGCTCAGACGCGTGTGATGTTTCGTCCACTGCCGAGCATCCGAAGCCGCGGCAGCCACGGCATCTAGCCTAGATGTCTATTAGCAATGATCGTCCTGGGCTTTGACTTTCTCATGCTGTCTTGGTTCGCTCCTCCTCCCTGGCTACCCCACGCTCCACAGCTCCAACCATACCTATGTTTTGTAACTGTAGGGTTTTGGTTTGAGCCAGGCCGGCCTCCACGGCGCAAGCTCAAACACCAAATGTGTTTCTCCGACCCCCTTCCCGTTGCGGTAATGCCAATGCTATCATCAGCACCATATCGAACGCGGACGCGACGGACCCACAAACCTAGCCGAACCATCGTTCACGCGCCCCCCTGCTGCCCTAGCCACTATTTGTCCGCCTACAACGAGGTGTAGGTAGCAAGCAGGATGGCTCTAACCCGAAAACCTCTCCCTTTTACTGTCATCACTAACCATGAATCCGCACCGTAAAAATATCGCCACTTGCGGTCGGCGGCGGGGGGGGGGCGTTTGCTGCAGAGATGCCATCGCAGAGGCATCGTTGTCTGGAGACGGAGGAGAAGGGTCGGAGAGAGACGTGGTGGTGGTCTGCGGTACGGTGTTCATGATGGTCGACATCAGGGAGGAGCTCGGCTTCAACGAGCCGAGGGTGAGAGCGAACGCTCGGCGAAACGACGAATGCTTTAGCGCAGGACCGGGAAGGAATGACGTTCTTGACGGTCAATCGGAGGAAGGACGCGTCAAAGGCAATGACGCGTAGAAGGGGGGGAAACAGCCGCGAGGGAGGCGAAGCGAACGGGAATGTCGGCAGTGAAACTCTGAAACTGAACACGAAGCGTCGGCGCGAAAGAGCAACCGAGGGGCTGGTTTCTTCGCCTTTTCGGCGGCGTAGACCCCTCGCGCCTCTCCCCGCTGACATATGCCCTGTTTATCCTCCACAGCAAGACACAGTTCGCGCTGTGATCGTGTGAAACCTTTCAAGTTCGACAACAGCAGTGCCGGGTTGGTTCCACCACAGACCGTGTCGCCTTTCCGTTCGCCCTGATGTATCTTGACCCCTGCCGCTTCGTGACGTGTTTTGGTTTTCCGCGCTTCGTGTGCGGTGTGTTTGAGCAGGACTCCGC